TTCCGACATTCAATTGGTGATCGGACGCCTAGGTCGTCCTGAGGAATTTGCTCTGGCCGTCGAGTCTTGCCTACAGAACAAAATGCTTAATGGCGTCTCCCTGCGGCTCGACGGAGGCGGACGTCTAGTCCATCTGTAGTTTGGGCTTCCAAACATCTTTTCCGCACGGTTCCTTGCTCTTTTGTACAGATGCTTTCCCTTCTCCATCTTTCACCTTTTGCGCAAACTGTCACTACTACCTGTCCATACACGATTGTTTGCACTCACCCAGGCGTCTTCGATACCCCGATGCTGACTTCCCTTCCACGAAACGTTGCGAACCACCTTGTTCGCCAGACTCTCTTTCCCAAGCGCCCCGGCAAGCCTGAAGAATTTGCACACTTGGTCATCTGTTTGCTAAGAAACCCCATGCTGAACGGAGAGGTGATTCGTCTGGATGGCGGTCTTCGAATGCCACCCTGACTTCCTTCTGTACGGTGCCTTCGCGGACCCGCCTATCTTTCCCCCTCAAATCTCTCCTGATTTGTATAGCGTCCTATCTACTGGTCCCCAATTCGGGAACTTTTGTATGCGCATTTTCTATTAAAAAAAGAAAACACGATGATCAACTTCAGTTATTTATCAGAATTTGTTGAGGCAAAACATCTACATGCTAGGAAGCATCTGGCGCTCGCCACTCCAGTCTCGAGGGCAGCCCCGTTTATGAGGACTAGGATACATGATCTTGTTTTTCGGATAGTATTGTTGCAGGATCGTGCCGCGTTCTCGAGGCTAACCGTCATCAGGTTCTATGTTCGTATAATTGTTAGATGAGCGAATTAATCTAACAAAACGAAGTTGTTGGAGCCTCGGATCTGTACCAACATCTCGACTGTCGCGGACGACGACATGCACTGTTTGCTCCAGGGAGTGGGCGTAGTGTGGTGATCTGCGCATGAGTCGCGAGTCTCCGCCCTTAGGGCTCTTAGTCCCCAGCGCGCGTGTGCCCCTTCGCTCTGCCTGGCCTGTGACGGCCCGCAGTCAATTGGCGAAGGAGCAGTCTTGATTGGCTTCGAGCTCTCGAGACACTGGGGCTAAGTCCCGCGTGGTCCCACCAGCGAATTGACAAAGAGCGACTCCGGAGGTGACATGTCTAAAAACATGAGTAAACAAACGGTCAGGAAAGTGAACGCGACATCCACTGTGGGCGATGTGCACAGAGGAAGAGTGAGTGTGCCGCGGCTGGAGCGCTGGAGATTGATTGGGAGGCGGAGGCAGCGGACATGGCGGAAGAGGACGCAGATGAGATGGAGGGACGATGGGTAGGCGTGGTGGAGAATCAAGGGGTAGGGGACTACAGGACTCGCCCCGCGAAGTGTCTGAGTCAGCAGCTCTGGGGCGGTCCATGCTCCCGACCTCCTCGTGAGTTCCGCGTTGGATGCGATACATCTCCGTCCCTCGACAGACAACCCGGGAGGTGCCGTCGTAGGGTGGCTCCAATGGCCGAAGTACTCGACTACTTCGGGGATGGACGTGAGAGCATATCACCAAGTCCTTCTTGATAAAGAATCGGTGGCCGATGACCTGGGCAGAACGGGGAGTTTCCGCGTAAATTTCGGAGACGGTACAGGAGGTTGGTAAGATGCTCGATCGCACCGCGAGGGGTCAGTGAGACCATCTCACCGGGAAGTCGGATGGTGGCGCTGAACACCAGCTTGGTGACGGAACAGGCAAGATCCGACTGAGGACGGAGCGGATGTTCAACAGAACCAGAGGAGGATATTTCGTCTGGTTCTATGGATCCTCTACAGTATGAAGGGAGTTTTCCAGCTGAGGATGAAACTGCGCGACCGTTCCGTTGACATCAGAGTGGCAGGCTATTGTGCGGCTGCGGGTACAGCCTTGAAAGAAGAGACTGGAACAGGTGAGATTCAAATTTGGCACGGTGGGGGCACCAGAAATGGCAGATCAACAACCAAGGAAAGCGCTGACCACCGTTGTAGCCTCGATATCAGGCAAAAATAGCTTCCAGCCATCGGGTGAATCGGTCCGCACAGGTTAGGTGGTGGGAACGACCATTGAGCAGAGGTAGGTGGACTATGACGTCCACGGGACATGGCAGAACCGTGTACCAGGGACGGGAAAGGCCTTCCCACTGAGCCTTCCTCCGCTAAGAGCCAACACACATCCGACATCCAAACTCCGGTCAGCGCGAATAAGTAGCCGTGTCAGCGACTGCGTCCTGCCACAGTTTCATCATCCATGTTGGATGTTGGTGCGATCATCACTCGCTATTTTGGCTTGCTGTCAGTGGGTCCGTTGGTCGTCCGTGCCATCCCCGCGTGCCTACTTCCTCCGCTCGGGTAATCTCATCAGAGAATACCGAAGCGGGAGGTCATTGCTTCTGTTCATGGACTGCGGACGGCAGCCCACAGCTTATGCGGTTATCGCCTCTTGCGAGAGTTTCGTCCTTATCGATCCTGAAGGTTTGGCTGGCTCCGTTGAATGAGTCACGACCTCACTGATGCTGCATGTTGGACCGTTCGTATTTCGTGCTATCCATCAGTTACTTCGACGTATTTGCTTTGTCCGCAACCCTATCAAATCGCCTCAAGCATGGCCACGAAAACTGCTAATTATAGTACGCGTGTGGTTGCATGGCAAATACGCCCTGCATATACTACACTGCTTGTGCCTCTACTATTATCTGTGGCTGTTCCTAATGGCACGTTCGTGTGAGAATCTGAAACGTCAGGCTCATAAAGTAGTTGTCCCAGTGATTGCATCTTCGTCTTATAAGCCGTGTGTTGAGCCAGCCCAGACCGTTCTAACTGCTAAATAAGAAACCAGCAGTCCGAAACGCCACCCAGCAATTTTTCTGCGGAATTTCTCACCTAGCGAGCCGAAGAAGTGGAGGGAACTCAAAGCTGAGCTCCTCAGAAGATCCACCGCAGGCGAGAACAATCGAAGATTACCGAACGACGAAATTTTAAATGTTCGAAAGGCATTCTTCCGAAGACGGCAATTTCACTGAGTATAGTGGACAGCCAGATTATCTAAAAGACTAATCTTTGCCGCCGAGTCATCTGCTGGAATTGACGATCAGCACTTCGGCTCCCAGTTCGATCGAACAGCAGTAGTATCGAATTCGGATGCTGTACTTGATAAACTACATGAAATATCTAGCAACCTGGATCCAAAAATCGTGCGAGTATCTGTACGGGTAAAACTCCCCTATCTGTATACTAATGCACGGAGTTTATTCAAGGAACTAATTGAACCAAACATGTGGATATCAGAAACGCAAGCAGATGACATTTCCATCAAAGAGACTTGCTTACCTGCTGAAGTATTTGATGACGGAATTGTTCGCGACGAATACAACTTCTTTCATAGAGGCTGGGTTCACAAGAAGAGGGGTAAAAATCTACAAGAGAGGCATACTCGCTTCAGAACGCAAAAGTGCTTGCTACCGTGATTGTGAAGTGACGTGGTTAAAATTAAAAATGCATGGTGTGCCAAGTCTGAATCTTCTGACCGCATACTGGCCGTCCAATTAAACTCCAGATGTCTGGATTACTTAAAGACGTGGTCCAAAACCAGGACGCACTGATTGCCGGAGATTTCAACATACCGATGATCGACTGGGATAATTTATCAGTAAACAGTTCACGCAATTCGATTGATTCCAAACTAGTAAAACTGACAACTAATCTCTTTCTCGCATAGAATGTCACGTTTTCCACCAGAATCAGAGAGGCTCAGGTGGCACATTATCTCGACGTAGTCCTTTCAAAAGACCCAATTAATCTTGGCAGGCATAAGTCCATAGCACCGCTTGGTAAGACCGACAGTGTCATGTTGCCTTGGGAGTACTGCTTATGACAGTTCGCCCGTTGCATCCGACGGCGTCCACCGTGGGCTCCACAGCAGAGTGAAACAGACACGGCGACTTGCTCGTGATTTAGTTTATAGTGCATATAGACCTGTGCAGCATCTACAGCACAGTTCCCTCCTCCCCCATCTGAAACCGGTACCAAGACATAGTCAAGAAGACTGGAGGCGGAGGAGGGCGCAGATGGATGGCACGGTCGAGTCCGCACTTTGGCGCTCCACTCCACACCCCCTGGTCCACACAGCAAATGACCAGGACTTTAACCAACGACAGCAATCGGGGGGGGGGACTGGCACGGCCGAAGTCGAACCTAGGCGTGCCGTCACAGCCGGCTCGGATCACATGGAGTGGGAGTGCCATAAAGGCCGCACTAAGAAGGAGCCATTGCAGCCTGACATCCGGACGACCAGTCGGCCGCCCCACACAAGCACACAACACTGGGCCGACTGCAAGATCCAAGTTATCCCGTCAGTTGGCAACCACCCAAGCCACGGCATTTAGCTCACCGTGATAGCTTCGAGCGCGTCAGATTGTCTATAGTGAGGAAGATGCGCTAAGTCGTCGACCTCACTCTCCATTCCCCACGCCCCAGACGCTGTCCGAGCTGGTTAGTTGGCAAATGCAGGAATGGGCGCGGTGGTTGACATATCCAAGGACCTTGTCTGCACGCGCCACATGCACGACCTGTCCCCCTAAACACAAGTACCAGGATTTCACACAACGGGGGTTGGGCGGTATACGTCTCACATGCGTGAGAGTGCTGTAGTTCACGTTAAGAGGGAGCCGCTTCAGCCTGTTCCTCGACCCACCATACCGCCCCTCCACAGATGCACAAACACGCACAACTGGGCAGACTGCGTGGACTGAGTTGGGGCGTCGGTTAGCAGCCATGCAAGCCACAGCGCTTGACGCATCGTGATAGTCTCAGACTAGAATCACCTATGCAGCAAAGAAGGCGCATTGAGAAGGATCCGAGACTCACACTTCCCACTTATGTGGGAGGTGGCAGTTGAATACTTGTAATGGGCGATGCTGTGTAATGTAGGTAGGGCAAGATTTAATGATTTGGTGTAGCCGGCGGTTGTCTACCGCAGGTTCTCGCGAATGCGTGTGTAACTTGATAGACTCATGCGGTGAGTGAATGTGCGGATTCAGTGAGGGCAGCTGAGGCGGATGCGCCTGGTGTATGTTGGTTCTCTAGACACTGGTTCGCCAGTCTCCGTGAGATGGATTCGTAAGTGACCGACCAGGCCGACGTGCGAGGTGAAGGTGTGGTCGCAATGAGGACAGGTATATGGACCAAGTCCACATCGCTGCTGGTGGCGATGATGAGGTTGATGTTGGTCGGTGTGTTAGGATTGAGTGCAGTAACGGTGGGTGCAGGAGCCGTTGTAGCGGATGCTGAGGCGACGGAGGAGGATGGCAACGGGGGTTCATGACTGTGGTCAGTATCGATTGTCAGCGTGCGACACGAGGCAGAGATGGACGGGGAGACATCGGGTGGTGTCGTCCGGGTGCTGTGGCTGGTACGATGATGCCCAATGAGAGCGACTGGTGCACGGAACATCCGCTGACATCGTTGGAAGGTTGGGGGACAGATGAGATTTCCAAGCTTCACGTTTGGCTTTCGCGGCGGTGATGCAGTTGGCTTCGTGGATTGCCGCGCTGGTTTTTACTGCTCTCCGCCAGGTCAATCGGCTCCCGGCGAGGTCGTCCCAGTTGGCTGGGCCGATTTGCCGGCGTCTCAGGTAGTCTGTGGGGTATCCTTGTAGTGCCGGACTTGACCTCCTTGTCGGCGGGAACTCGTGGCGACTTCTTCATAGAAGAGTCGTTTAGGTGACCGCTCGTCGTCCATGTGCACCAAATGGCCGCTCTAGCGCAGTTGCAGTTGTATCGGCTTGATATATATGGTGAGGATTCCCATGCGTTCCAGTACGTCCGTGTCCGGGATCTGGTCCTGCCACCTCAGCTTCAATATCTTTTGGAAACAGCTGACGTGGAAGTAGTTTAGTCTGCGTGCCTGCTTCTTGTACACCGTCCAGGCTCCCGCTTCATACAGCAACGTCGCAGGATGACCGCTCTGTACATCTCCAGTTTGGTACTTATATGGTGACTGTGTCTATTCAAAACCGTGTTTCGCAGACGGCTGAAGGCCTGGCTGGCCTTGGAAATCAGACGGGCCACTTCGTCGTCGATTTTGGTGTTGCGAAAGAGGGTTCTGTCCAGGTAGGCGAAGTCGTCCAGGGCTTGCAGTCGGGCGCCGATAATGTTGGTTTAAGGAGCGATGGAGACAGCGTCGGGTGGCCGCTGATGCATAACCACTGTCTTCTCCGTGTCGATGATTGGACCGGAGTTTTCGCGGGCGGTGGCGAAGAGGTACATGCTCCTTTGCATGTCTCGTTTGGAGGTGTTGCTGAGTGCGCAGTCGTTGGCGAAGAGAAGCTCATGGATAGAGGCTGCGGATACATGTGATTGGAAGTGCATCCGCCGGTGGTTGAGGAGTTGACCGTCAGCCTTGTAGGCGACGCGGATCCCGGACCGTTCGTCACGGTAGGCGCCGATTAATATGGCAAAGAACATGAGACTGAAGTTTGCAGGCACGGGGACGCAGTCCTGCTTCACTCCGTTGGTCACTACGAATGCCTCTGATACAGCCCATTGTCTGTTATTCGCGCCATCATGCCAACATGGATCTGACGCACCATCTTTGTGAATCGTTCGGGACAGCCGAATTTCAGCATGATTTTCCACAGTCCTTCGCGGTTCACCGTGTCGGGGGCTTTCGTCAGATCCATGAAGATAGAGTGGAGGTGGGTCCGCATCTCCTGACACTTCTCCTGCAGTTAGTGTCGATGAAGATCATGTCCGTGGTTCTGCGATGACGGCGGACGCCGCACTGGCCTTCCGGCGGGAGACCTTGTTTCCGATGGTGATTCAGGCGGTTGAGGAGAATGCGGGAGAGGATCTTCCCGGTGATGTTCCGCAAGATGGTTGTCGCAGAGCTGGCAGTTTCCTTTCCGTTTATAAAGATGCACGATTGTGGCGTCCTTGACATCCTGCGGGACTTATCTTTGACTCCACATCTTTTGGAAGAGCGCCCCAGGTGATCCATGAAGTGGCGGCCACCGTGCTTGCAGATGTCAGCAGGAATCGCGTCCGATCCAGGCGCTTTCCTGCTGGAGAGCTGCTGCACGGCTTTGATGGTTTCGTGGGGAGAAAGCGGGAGGTCGAGGTCGGCGTTGGTCTCCACCTGAGGCAGACGGGCGAAGGTGGCTTTCGAGATGATGAAATGACGGTTGAGGACGCCTCTGAAGTGCTCGGCTCATGGTTGAAAAATTTACACACCTGGAAAAGTAAGACAACTGAAGTTCAGCTAAATTTTTCTTGGGGGGCGGGGACATTTTATTGCCAATGGAAGTAAATTATCAATACTAATCGAGCATTGCGTTCTTATGGGACATCCGGATTTAGAGTGGAATATTGTCAGGGGAGTTATAAACAACGCTATGCATCATAACTGTCCGATCAAACAGGTCCAAAAAGGGAATCATCCTGTCTGTTTAGAGCAAGATACAAAAGAGGTGAACAGAAAAAAACAAACTTCTGAGGTGTGTGAAAAGAAAAAAACGCTCGCACTGCGAAAAGTTTTACCGAAAGTGGAACGAGACAAAGTCAAACGTCCGTAGATCGCGGAGGGAGAGCGAGACGCGAATTATAAAACGGACCGTGGTTAAGCCAAGAGTCTTCTTCAGCTACATCAACAGTACATAGATTAAAGAAATAAGAGATGGCCGCAATGTTGGAAGGAGAAAATGAGGACATTACTCAAAATGACGTTAAGGCAGAACATTTAGGTCATTTTTCGCATCTTCTTTCACAGATAAAACGGATTTTCTTACGGGAACAAACGACACAGTGGTGGAAAGCACCGATCTCACCAAATATGTGAGGAAGGAACATCTTACTCCTGAGGAATGTAAGTCTCTGTATCCGAACTTAAAACCGACAAAAGTCCTGAAGCAGCTTGCTTGTCGACTCTCCAGACAGCTTTCGTATATTTTCTAGCCGTCCTTTGATCGAGGATCTCTTCTCCCTGACTGGAATGTGACGAATAGACACCCAGTTGACAAGGGTGAGACCTGAACAAGTGCCAACAACTGTCGGCCGGTGACCCTAGTATGCATTTGGAAGAAGTAGTCAAAAAACTACTGTGAAGTTCGTCGAAGAAAAAGATTTGCTCGACAGTGTCTAAAGTGGCTTTCGACGAAACCATACCTGTCCAACCGATATACTACATTCAATGCAGCAGTGACCCCGCTCGCTAGCTTAAGACGCAAGAGTCCATAACGTTTGCATCGACTTCAGGAAGGCCTTTGATTATGATCCACACTGCCGGTTACTCTACAAGGTCCGAGAATCTGGGATGAGGGCGAGCCTACTAAATTGGATAGGGGATTTTTTGATGGACTGATCGTGTTCTGTGTTCAGTGGCAGTGCAAAACCAATGCCAGTGCAAGTTGTGCGTCGGGTACCTCAGGCTTCCGTTCTCGGCCACTACTGTTTTAAGTCCATGTCAATGACTGCGTGAATGGACTTAGCTTCCGTCTGGCTGAGGATTTCCTCCACCGCTGCAATCATACTGACAGGTGTGGCATCGTCTGTGTTAAATGAGACCACATGCCTTAACACCTGCATTTGTTCCTCCGTCAGCTCCTTTGACGACAGGTTGTGCACCAGTTTGTCGTTCTTGGATGACGCTGGATTGGAGAGCTTGCGGAATTTGTTTTCTAGTGCTGCTTTGCGTGTCGTTATCTGTTCGCAGATTCGTTCGGCCACCCTCTGTTGAAGCATTTTTGTGCCGTTCTCGCCCATGAACTCGCAGAACCTTTCCTTCTTTTGGTCAATCCTCTGACGATATTTGGGAAGCCTTGAGTGACAGTCCAGAAGGACTGTCACTCAAGGCTTTGTAAATGCGCACTTGCTAGATAAATACCTATCATATGCACAGGTCAGCTATGTTAGACCAGACCAACGACTTGAACATACTCACAGCTAGCGCGGATGACTACTATTTCATATCAAACAATGCCTCCGACGCCCTTACGTGCCCAGGATTAAGTTCCCCATAATTTCGATTTTGTGTAAAAGAACAGGTTACTGACAATAAAGCAGTAGCACGTTTAGATAGCTAAGAGGGAAGCTGTTCGAGTGCCGGCAACACGTTATTTGTGTGTGCTTTCGGAATCGCCAGAGATAGCTGCAACAACAGAACGAGCAGCACTTATATGGAGTATGAGTCAATAAAACATTAATAAGGCAAGTCTGGAGGTGATCGCGCAGGGCTCTGTATTCCGGCGCCAAACTGATTTAGTGTATTCTAACCTGGGGTTCAGGCTTCAATCAATTCGTGGCTTGTTTTGCTTCTGACGTAGGTGATTATTTTTGTGGCTGCGATCTTAGACACGTGACCCGTTGCGTAGTTGTGGGTAGCCGCCTATGATAACCCGCCACCCCGCCGCACAGCCAGTTAATGTTTGTGTGTACGCGGGCCGAGCATGCGTTCAGTCTGACCAATGAAAGTACAGGGACAGTTTAGGTGTGGGATCAGTTCAGTTCAGTTTATTTGAGAGAAATATAGGTGTTGAACCTTTGAACTCGTTATTTGTTACAAGGAAGCGAACTATATCAAAAATTTGAAAATGGAAACATCAAACAGCTACAGAGTTTCTTCAGATTGGCAAAGTTTTCGAAGCCAGGCAGATAAACAAATTGTCCCAAGAGTTAAAAACATTAACGTTAGTAAGTTTGCTGTACAGTAGTCTGTCTATGGATAGTTGGTGCTATCTTAGTTTCTGAGGGAGACGAATTAGATGCAAACACACATTCAACAGACACGGGACAATAATAAAAACAAACGTTACTGAAATACAAGCAGTAATATAACAACATTAATAAACTGTTCGAACGAAATGCTAGACGTTGTCGGTCAGGTGGTATTATGACGTTTGGAGGTACACTGATCCAGCCTGCGCTTAAAGGCCTCGACGGAAGTGGACATGACGAAATCTGTAGGCAGAGCACTCCAGGTCTCGATCACTCTGTTTGAAAAGAAGAACTCCCGAATGTCCAGCTTGGCGCCAGTTACGCGTAGTTTAAGTGAATGACCTCGGAGGTTCGTTGTGGTCGCTAACTCAAAGGAATCAGGAGGTACGAGACAGCAGTTGTGGCCGCGCAGTATACGGAATGTCTGTATAAGGTCGCCTCTTAGCTGTCTGTAAGTCCGAGGAAAAAGGCCGAGATTGGATAATCGTGTTTCATAGGGTAGTGAACCCTGTCCACTTACGAGTTTGGTTGCCCGCCTTTGAACTTTCTCGAGGATGCTGAGATCTTTAGAGGTCCAGGGTTTCCACGCCTGGATAGCGAGCTCTAGCTGTGGCCGTACGAAAGTGCGAAAGACTATAACGAAGCAGTCCTCATCGAAGGTAGAGAAAGCTCTCTTGACAAGGTAAAGGACTGACATCGCAGACTTGGCTACCTTGGAGCAGTGGAGCGACGGTTTTAGAGAAGCCGTTACCCACACACCCAAGTCCTTCTGGGCGTCTACCTCCCGCAGTGGTACGCCATTTAGGTAGTAAACCCTCCGGCTTATTGATCGGGTCCTGCCGACTCGCAAAACATTGCACTTAGTCACATTAAACGGCAAAAGTCAGTCCTGTGACCATTTCTCGAGTAGGGTCAGGTCTGCCTGCAAGCGCTCTTCGTCAAATTCAGTTCGGATGACGTTCCAAAGTTTAACATCATCAGCGAACATGGGGCCATCACAATTCAGTTCAATGACGCAGTCGTTGATGTATATAATGAATAGGGTAGAGCCAAGAACGGAGCCTTGTGGAACACCGCTTTCAACCGCTACCTCCTCCGACTGCCTGTCACCGACGTGGACGATTTAAGAGCGACCGATCAAGAAACCTTGTATCCACCTCAGGAGATTAGCCCTTATGCGATACACTACACCCGACTGCTCACTGGGATTTAATTAGTCCTTTTCTTTCATGACCCTGCTGCGCATGGTAGCAGTGGTGTGCAATTCCGACACCTATTCCAGCAGAAATGTGTTCAGTTTCCCCAGAAACGTCCTTGACGTGGGCAATGTTTCCGGATGAACCCTCCGGGCTCGAACACGGGCATCGGCTTATAAACGCCTTCGGATAGCCGTTCCGCGTAAAGAGATCGCTGCGATATTAGGCTTCGCACGCTTTCACATCCAGTTTGCTATAATGGGCCCGGATTTGTTTAAAGAGCATTCTCCCACAACTTCGCTTGCGAGCCACGGGGTGGTTTTTGTCATAGTTGAGAAGTTGCGTGGCAATCGAACAGCTTCCTTTTTTCCTACTTACCGAGGCTGAAAATGATTCGTAGTTATAAAGCCTTACAGAAACCGTAATCACCTAATTCTTGTTTTAAAAACCACTATGAAGTCCCATAAATAAAGAGGAACTGGTTTTCCCCTTTCAGCCCGAAGAAATTATGTCGGGATTCCAGATTCTAACCGTTTTGCGAATTGTGAAAGCATAAAATTATCCATCAAACGGAAAGCTGACTTGGAGGCGATTCCTCAAAAAAGCTCGTGTTTGAATTGCGCACTTCCAAAAATAAACACAGTTTACCTGCTGGGGAATATGCTGCTTAGCAACAAAACACTCTTAGGCTTAATAACAGGGCTGATTGAGTACCAGATGAAAGGAAGCTTAGAATTTGGAGACTAGTCGTTAAAAAAACAGCCAGTGGGCAAATGGATCACGCCTTGCTTGAACGTCAAAAGCATTGATAAGTAGGAAGGAATACAGACACGGACGAGGGACGGCGATGTGGTAAATAACGGCACAATACCAGGAAAAATCTGCGTATATAGGGGTTGGCTGTATTAATCATATTCACTGAAAACGCGTAGGCAACGTAGGCGAGAAACAAATAGTTTTTGGAAGACTGCCGAACAGTTACGATATAGTCAGCAAACGATGTGTTGCGGCAGGCGGTGTGAGTGTGTGCATTCTGAGCACTACAATAATCAGGGCGAATCCTATGTTTGAGAGAGAAGACAGAAGGAACCAGAATGTGGGGTTTAATGCATACAAAACCCAGAGTTTTTCTCTCAGGCGGCAGTGGCCACTGGTGAAGCCAGGGCTGGTGTTGACTGCGTCCAGTCAGATCTGAGAGTCACTGGGACAGCGGTGGCAGCCTATTTTGTAGGCTCGTGGGTCAAGCTCAAGCGGTGGCCAGTCAGTGTGTGTTGCATTTGCCGAGGGGTGGTGTCCCAATGGATTTAGGTTGTGGTTGCAGGGGGCGGCGCGTTCAAGTGGCGCATGGGTGGCCGCGACGCTGTGTGGACGCAATTGTGTCCGAGCTGAAGTCGGTCGAGTGGCTTCAGGTCAGCTCGCCTGGGACGGCTCGCTGCAAGGGGTGAATGACCCTGAGGCAGCGAGGTCTTGAACAATGACACCAGACCGGTCATGCTGGCTGCCCGCTACAGATTCCTCCCTTTAGGCTACGTATCATGACAACAAAATTGTCTAATTATTTTACACGATAGTCTGTATTAATTAGATCTTTCTGTGCACTAGGCAGAATTTTAGATCATACTATATAATCTACGTGTTTTCGAGCAAACGCGTATCATTGCTAATGTTTCCAGTTATTCTTAATAGTCTAGGATGCCGGTTCGTAAATAGTATCAGGCAGCACGTCGATCGACTCTGGAATGCGAAGCTATTTTTACAGTTTTTTGTGGATATCTGCCTATTTTGATTCATTCGGGCAAAATATGATTAACTAACCAGCAATTTAATGAAAATTCTCTATAATTTATGGTGTATATTTCCGTCAACTGCCACATCTTTCGGCAAAAATAAGCAACTTTAAGAAGTGTCATCAGAGTCAGCAATGTGAAATTACCGGGTGAACTAATGAACATGACAACCAATGGAAGTCAAAAGGCGAGTACCAGGAAGTAGTTCAGAAGAATAAAATGGGACCAAAGGAATAGGACGCTTATTGGCCTGACGTTTCGTATTATCATGGACATGAACGGTACAAAATTGCATCATCAGAGGACGGACGAATGAGCCTGCGAATAGAAAACGATTGGCGAAGCAGTACTGAAGAACAAGTTCCGCAAGTTGACTGGTCCAACTTCACCCGAAGATGGCGAGCTGGTGCGCAACCTGTTGTCAAAGGAACTGAGACAGGAACAAATGCAGGTTTTAAGGCATGAGGCCTCATTTAACATAGCAGCTGCCATACTTTTCAGCGTGATTGCACCAGTGCAGTCAATCCTCAGTCAGACGGAAGCGACAGACGGAACAAAAAATTTTACAGGACACCAAATTTTGCCCATCCCCATGGCTCATAAGTCGTAAAAAATGCTTCCCAAGGTCGAACGCGCTGTAGTAGGTGGACTCAAGGTCGAGATTGATTTCTTTAGCCTGCCTGCGGACAAGGAGCGTTCCACTGTCGTATTGGACAGAACAGACAACCTTCATTAAGTCAAATACCTTCCAGAGGGTCACTAATTCTATATTCTTTTGGGAGACCGACCCCATAAAGGGCTGACATGCGAAAGCAAAACGGCGTTATTGACGATGAGGTACTCGAATGCAATATAGCTGGCCGAGCGACGCATGACGAGGACGCAAGAAACGGCCTTGACTCGAATCTATGCTCTCTTAAATGTGTATTAAGAGGGCGCTCCTCTCCAACCCGTCCGATCGCGCATAGACACTCCAGAATACCGATTGGCATAGTGACTGATTCAACGTGCTTAATTGATTATCACCGGTTCAGACACCATAGTCAGCTGATCGACAAAATTCTTG